GGGGGGGGGGGGGATTTCTAAGAGGCAATATATATATTTTTTTGTACACCTATAGAATAAATATATATTTTTTTCTCACTTGATGGCTGAAAATATTTTTTTAAGTGAAATTTATAGGCCTATCTTCCAAGCAAGGAATTTTTTTTTGCACTATGGGAATAAATTTTTTTTGGTTTTGGTTTTTTTTAATGGTCTGTCTCTAAATATTATGACAATGGGGGTTATCGTTCCATGTTTCGCGCACCAATATAAGTTAGGGTTAGGTTTAAGGTTAGGGTTAGGGTATGTATATACGTGTATGGAGGTATCCAGTTCACTTTTCAGTACACTATAATATCCATTACATAACGTTTACTATATTGGTGCGCGAAACATGGAACGATTACCACAATGAGCTCAATCACCGTGACCGTGCGCAAATTAACAGAACTCAGACAAAAACATAACAATGACTTCTGTTTAGTTTCCGAACCATCATATCTTGATAGACTATGTCTGGAAATCCTGCGAAAATCTATGTTGGGAAAAGCTATTCTGCACTCAGTTGAGGTAGTGACGTCATCCGCTGAGGGACAGGGCCGAGGTTAGGATTGGTTCAGAAGCTCGGAGTGCCATCACTACATCAACTGAGGGCCGAATGAACTCTCCCTTTCTTTTGGGATAGAGAAATTGATGCCAGATGAACATTGTTGCACAAAACAAATCTGCCATTACAAACCTAAACGTCACCTACATAAACGTTACACTACGTAACTTTTGCCTAAAACTGTCGCACGCAACCTGCTTACAACTTGAGTTGTACTGTGTAAATCAAGCACACAACTCACCTACGTTGCAACTCACCTACGACACACGTAAAATGTGTACAAGTTATAACAAACGTGCAGTAGACTTGTAGCAATGCTGTTCCAACAACTTGTCAACAGGATGTGTTCGCACTGCTTGTTCCCAGCTTGTTGACAACTTGTAACAAGGTTGTTGAGCTCAACAGACTTGTCACAAATTAAGTTGTTCCAACAACTTGTTATCGTCCTGCAATACAACAAATTGTCAACAAGTTGTGAGTGACAACTTTGTAGCAACTTGATAAAATAACAGCATTGTTACAATAACTTGTTGACAAGCTAGCTATGCAAGCCTGTTGTGAATACAGTACATCTTGTTGACAACATATAAGATTTTTGCGTGTGTAGGTGAGTTGTGTGCTTGATTTACACAGTACAACTCAAGTTGTAAGCATGTTGCATGCGACAGTTTTTAGGCAAAAGTTGTGAGGCAGATTTCCAGTCCTCGCACGAAGCTCCTCGCAGCTCGCTGCGAGTGATGCTTGAGCACTTTCATCCAATCACAATGCTAAACAGTTCATTTTAATTAGATGCAAGCTCTCGCAGCGAGGAGCTTCGTGCGAGGACTGGAAAACCGCCTTAAAGCGGCCTTAATAAATTCAAACTCAGTACAAAATTTTTCCAACCACAAGATTTATATTTAGTACCCTACTTCACCTGACGACATTGCCGGTGTAAAAAATAACCAAGCATTTGTTGTTTATAGTAGATTTTAATTTGTAAAACCTGGATACAACTATAAGTCGTCCAATGTAATATTCTTATCAATATGCAAATTATTTTATCTAGTGTGTCATTGACGAACACGTAGTTCCCCCATTAGCTAAGACCGTACAGCTGCGACATGTGTGCTTTGATTGGCGATAATTTCATTGTAGAGTCATTATAGTCTTTCAACTCTAACCCAGACTTATTTAATACTCAACATTATTACAAACAAGGTTCTCAGAATTAGCATTGTTGTATGCTATACTTAAAATTCGAATTATGTGTATGTATATATATATATATACAAAGTTTAGTATACTTTATTTGCAATGGCAATATTTATATTGCCATTATTGGCATATCTCTTAAGGCTTTAAGCCTAAAGAGGCTGTCTCGTAAGACAAGGTTAAAACCCCTTAAATAACTTTCGACAAATGTAGACCGATAGAAATTCTAGTCTCGGATTTCAGCCCAAGTATAGAAATCTTTCCTACATAAGTACCCTCCCATTATAAACGAAAGCTATCTTGATCTACGTCAATTCTCTTGAGTTTAATAAATACATCAGTTCCGTAGCCATGGAGGGTCTGTAGCTGTACGTGTCCTCCCAGGAATTCTGCGTAAGCTCGCGAGGTTGGTAGGCCAAAACCGAAGCCAGCCATGCTACCTATGGTCTCAACGGAGTTCACGCTCTGGCCGTATTCCGAAAGCGCGTTTGCACTGTTTGCGGTTTCTTTTACGAATGTTGTAAATGAGTAGTTGAAAACTTCCTTCAGTTCATCGTCTGAGATTCCACCACCTTGATCTGAAATCCTAAAATAGACGAAGGATCTCGTTTAGCTTTAAAACGTAACATAAACTATAAAGAAAAACATAAAATATTTCAACAGTCACAGATGGAAAAAAGTTGTATTGAGAAAGCCTGGAAACTATAAACAAGACAATAACTAAATATATGCATTTGATTAGGTAATCGGGTAGATTAAACCATCTAATTGGTCAATGGTAGTCCAGTGGTAGTCATTTTTTGAACCTCAGAGGAGTCTATTATTAAGAACTGTCAAAGCGACCAAATCGATGAAATTATCTTATATATAAGTCAAAATTCATCCGGCTCGGCTCCATATAAACAAGCCCCAAATATCTATGGCCCTAACTTGTAATGATAGCAAGTGGTCCGAAACGTTTAGTTAACTACTGGATGACGATGGAAGGATGAAACATAAAACAACAAAAATATAAAGAAAAACATAAAATGATAGAATATATTTCGCTCGCTACTCTGGTTTAAATAAATGATTACAAAGCCCAGTCGAATTGTAATCAAGACCCAACGTTTCGACACTCCAGTCTAGTATCTTCATCAGGATTGATCTAAAACTGCGATCGTGGCTTCTTAAATACCCAAGGGATGACGTCACCTGCCAAGAAGATGCATATATTCCTCTGGCAAATAGGCGCCGTCATCCCTATTCAAAGCATGTTGACTCATATTTATATAGCACGCTTCTAGGCAAAGTCTTTGACCATAGCGATTGTTTGTGTTAATTACTTTAGAGTTTTCCCACGCAATCTCGTGTTTGGTGTAACATACATGTTCGGCTAAAGCTGATTTTCCCTACTTTAGACAAGGGAAAATCAGCTTTAGCCGAACATGTATGTTAC